GCAACAAAATTAGTAGCTCTCGTTAATGGAAACTCTGAAAGGATATATCGATTACGGTACCGTTAATAACAGTGTAAATAATATAAGTTAATTATAATTGTATTCCAGAAATTGTCGTAAATGAAATCGAAACGAAGTTTTGTATCGAAGCGTTATTTGAGAGGTATGAAAAGTGGAAAAGCGAAAGCTGACGCTTGTTGTTGTTCAGTGGCGAAGCTGAATGGAAAATGCAAAAGGTACGCGGCTAGAGGAAAAGGTCCGCTTTGCGCAATTTCCATACGGTAAGCATCCGCAGTATTCCCGGTGACCTATTTTTTGTTATCCGAACGAATAGTCATATGTTCGTCGTAGCGACGTATGTCAGAAACACATGTTCAATAGTGGACCCGTTCACGTGTCATAGTCGTCGGAATGGATACGTTGTCTTTATGTACCCCTTTTACGAGTCCTATTAACGATGCATGTGTCACCGGGCAGATTTATAGGGAAACTAATACTGTCGAGGTGATCTCGTAAATTTTTATTATCCTCACCAAAAATGATGAATATACTGCAGTATTTCGTAGATAAACTATATCCAGAAAAAGATATACGATTTTTTGATGGTGATGTTGTTTGAGATTGTAAAATAAAATTGACGATCGAAATTGTAATTTTTCAAAGAAAGAGTTAGAAAGATAAATTTTGACAGAAGATCTTTGGCTGAAGAAAAAGCGTTGTCGTGTTGTAGTGATGAGATCGTTTTTTTGTTTTTGATATTTGAAATGGTAAGAATCTAGTGGTAAAAGTTTAACATTTCCAAAAATCTTTGTAACTCGTTTAGAGTCGCTGGTTTTGGAAAATGTGTTATCGCTGTGATTCTTGATTGGGATGGTCGAATACATAATACAATAAAAAATGTCTGTGACTAAATGATTTTGAATCCCGTTACTATTTACGTGTTTGTTTGATTTCTTCAGACTTCGTCGTCCCTTTCTCGAATTCCATTTACACATATAGATCATGTATCTGATTTGTATTTCGTGAAGAACATTGTATTTAATACATCGAAATATAAAATGTGGATGTTTTTAAATAACGCACTACAACATAAAATAAACAGACACATCTCTGGAATCGTAAGATGAGGTTTGTACCTCGAAACTAGTTTAGAATAAAATAATAAGCAAGTAATAGGTTTTTTATTCCTTTATATTGTTATATTTGTTGTTTAAAACCGAGCCAAATTAACACAATACTAAACACAAAACCACCAATTTTCAATAATTTCTGTTATGGTTTATCCTCCTTCATAACTCAATAAGTACTTTTGAATGTTTGTTGCACATCGCTTACCGATTGTCGCTTAAAATATGGCAAGACATGGGCCTTGAAAAACGATCTCCATGTGAAAATCAAAAGAATTCAAATGGCCTTCAAAGTGCAGACGGGTTTTAGCACTGGCAATGTTGAGAAGCTCATCAGAAATTGTTTTTGAACAATAACAATAATGAACACATTGCATTCATTGAATCAAAAATCAAAACCTTACTGGGTTTGACATCTTTTAATTTCAGTAACCTTTAGATATCAGATCCTTCAATTGGAAAAATTTCGTGTTTCAACTTCGTTGTGTCCGACGATGACTTCAAGTTCACACGTGTAACACATAAAAATAATAAACGTTCATACGATTCACGTTTTAAGGCCAAAAACGTGGTTTTTGTTTTCCTTCTCTTATAATTGATATCTATACGATGAATCTGGAGAAAGAACTAGCAACCAGCAGATCCTTCAATTGTTTGACGGCATTCTGAATGTCTGCAAATATAGTCTCTTCTTTACACTAATTACTTTGCTCAACATATTCTGACTCAAGATGAAATATCAGTGAATAGCATTGATAAATTACCTCATCTTCAGCACAGATAGATAAAACACTATTTGATGACCTTTCACTTTATCTCAGGAAATTAACTAGCAGAGAATATTGATTGATTTTAGAAAACTGAATCAAAATCAATCTCTATAGCGCATTTTCATCAAGTATTGTATACAGGTGCCACGAAACTCAACATCAAGCGGACACCGGGTGAGAGACCAACCCGTACCTATTCTAGTGAACATCCCCTTAATTTTTTTATTAGGATTGCATAAAAGAAACAATGTATTAAAAACCGATTGAAAATCCTGCCGAACTGCGCCACAATATACAGCAACAGAAGAAATAAATGCAAAGAGATTTGCACAACTAGTAAGAAGATCTTTTTTGTGACGATACAGAGCTTGTATTAGTGCCGACTGCAAACAATTTGAGCATTTGCTTTAGTTTTAAGAAACTAATGCAATAAATTTATTAATAAATAAATTAATAATTCTTTTTGTTTAATTTTATCGTTAGGTTAACCATATTCGAAACAGTCCTTTTGCAAGACATAAGGGCAACCATCTTGTTGAAACCATATTTTGTAGTTAGTAGATATTGAGTGGTACACCTTCTAACAAATTTAAGAGGATATAAAGAGTAAATATAAATAGCATACGAAAGTATGAATTTTTTAAATAACGTGTTTTTTGCAAAGAAACAGGCAATAATATTTTTTATGAAAAGAAAAATGGTAAGTGTTGTACATTTTGGAAACATGACTAAACAGGCCATCTTTTAAAATAACTTGCCAAGGGTGTTGTACTACTCCTTTTTTTAGAAATCGTGTGTCAAATTTAATAGACAAATTCTTTCAACCTGAACTCAATAAACCTAAATTAATAAGTAAAAAAAGAAAAAATTTTTAACGATGAATAATGTTTATTATTTAAATTCGGTGCGACAATGTTTCGATTGCCTAGCAATCTTTGACGGGCACGACGTCAAAAGGATGAAAAATACAATATAACATTATAACAAAAGACAAATGGCGACAGCGAAACATAGAATCGGAAGAAAACAGGTACTCACACCGCTCATAAATTTTGGCAGACTTTATGAGCGGTGTGAGTACCTGACGATGAGCATTGAAAAAACTATCGCAAAAAAAATAAACCTAATATTCTTTTTGCAAAACTGACGACTTTTGTTGTTTGATTTGCGACTTCTATAGTAGCATAGTTCATAAGGAATACATTATTAAAAAAATCACTATTAAATTGCGAACATTTCTGACCCTAGTACATACATAAAGGTATGATGAGCGATTTTTAACATTTTCAAAAATATGTCTATTATCACTTAACTAAGAGACATGGAATTTTTTTCTTATTTTTACCAGAACAGATATGGGTTGGCCTGTTACCCGGTACCCGCTTGACATTGAGTTTCGGGAAATCCTGTATAAATACACCGCTACAAAGTCCGATCTTTTCTTAATCTAAAATCAGGTTTTGTCAAGTCGATATGTTAATATTAATCGCGGCAAAATAAAGAACATATGCCTGCCACGTATTCAAGACACTGGCTTGAATGCTGCCGTTATGGTACTGAATTAAAAAAAAACTATCAATTTTGAAAAAAACACAATTTGGCTTATCTAAATCCAGGTTTTCAACATTTCTTACTGCAGAAACAACCTTGGCGATGCATTTTTGCCACGCATTAAATAAATAATACAATTTTTATACAACACAGATAATACAACAATGCCATAAAGAATCGATAAAAAAAATTCTGCTATAACGTGATTATCAGTTTCGGTTTGATTCTAGTGTTCTTGTGTTTACCAGCAGTTTATTGGGTTGATATGACAATGTGATTAACAGGTTTGGGTTGATGTGATAATAATTGCAGTACCTCGACGGGAAACGACCTACGTTTAATCGGGCGTACTCTAATGAAAGGCGAGACAAAGGCGTACAATTTGTTGATCAGTTTCAGTTTGATATGGTACTAATTATAGACCTTCGGCGCAAACAACCTCAGCTTAATCAAGAAGAATCGTATATTCCCTATTCTGCACTCTTCGTTGAATGAATGGAAATGTGAAAAGTCATCTGTTACGAAACTAAAAACCGAAACGTAAAAAAAACTTGATAGGGAAGGGAACTATAATATATTAGGTGTAATGCTAATGTAAAGAGGTTACATGGAATATAGCTAGTTTATAGGGCAACTCTTAACTGTCTATGTTGTTAGTAAAGAACAGGTTAATGCAATAGTGTAGTAAGTAAGCCTATTTCATCCAACAGGCATATCTTGTGCTATGTAAAATATTAATGCCTCCAAACAGCATGAGCAGTCATTGTTATTAAGTGCTGATTTAGATATCCCAAAGCGTGACCATTTCAAATTGAGACAGATAAGGTTCTAGATAAGCAAAGACTTTGTAGTGGTATATTTAATATTCCGCTATCTCTACAGATAACAAAGATATGGGCAACTAAATCAGGTAGAAAAACAAAGATAAAAGTTTGTTATGGGATAGAGGTATAAAAATGTATTAGATCTTTGGATGTGGATCCGAAATGGGTTGGATACTTCATAGATATACTTTTCATATAGCTACTATAAATGTAACCGTATGCCTTTGCTATTAAGATAACACTTACTACTTTCAAAAATTAATTTATTCCGTGCTATTGAAATTACAAGGAATCAAATATGTTGTATTTATAGTCGATGTAATATCGCGAAACTCCTACGTGTAAAACCAGAAACTGATTGAGGGTTTCAAACGACTGTAGTGTAAAAATTTACATTAAGATTAAATTCCAGTTAATTTTCACTGCTTGTGTAGATATTGAAACTGTCAATGTATCATGACGGAGAACAAATACAACGACGAAATTGTATTTAGTAACAGGTAGTAATAATTACTTAGACAGGAAGTAATAGAAACAAAAAGAATTGTCTTTATAACTTAATTTGTAAAAAATTGAACTCCAGAAAGAAATTTAAATAGAAAAAAATAAATAATGGTGAAATTTTAATTTAAAAGTATTTTATAGTATAAAACTAATAAATCAACTAATCAATAAGAACTAATTGGGTAGATTTAGGGAACTAAATATAGAAAAAGTTGTTCACTTACTGAAGGATTCTGTTGAGATGCTGTATATTTCCTTTGCGGTGTAGTTAGAAATTCGACCTAAAATCAGAAAGAAGATTTTATTAATAAAAGATTTAATTCTCTTCTACCATAATATTCCAAATGCTGATTATTGAAACAAAGCTGTTTTATTTATATTATTATGATATTTAAGATTGTTGCAATATAATATTTAGGCATAACGAAATTAACAACGTTAATAAAATAAAAGCATAATAAATAAACATTTATGAATGTGCCATATTTGTTACTAATATTTATGTTTCATTATTTCATGTAGGGTTTAAGTTAAAATTCTTCTTGCTGATCAAAACCAAATACATTAAATAAAAGTTGAACTTCCTGATTTTAATTAATCGCTCGGATTTAACACCTTTATAGCGAAATTTGTAAGCGCTACTACGTTTCTTATGCATATTTAATTATTATATAGAGATAATCCTACAATAATCCATTTTCTGTTATTTAACCCATAGAGGTAATTTTTATAAATCGACACAAGAATTAAAATGATGTGTATCATCAAATTTGATATCCTACAACCCTTTAAACTGCGTTAAACTAAAAATGATGTTTATAAAAGTCGTTAAAAAATATGATTCTATAAAAAGAGCTTTTTATAAAACCGCTACAAATAATTTTAACAATATCATAGGCTGTAACATCACACCATTCTGTTATGAAATATTTATAAATTCAGGTTATAATATGATAAATTTCTTATTATCAGTTGGTGATTTAGCACGGGAAGTGAGACGAAGGTGAATGCAAAGAAAATATCGTTTCGATAAAGTGGCCTGTTCAACAGGTTAATGGCTAACAAAATTTTATCGGACAATTTACGATGGATTAAAACGTTTACGGCGTTGGACACACAAGCCTTGATGTTCCTAATCGCACGTCGTCCTTGCCGATCCTGCTGTCATCGAAAAGTCAATCCTCTAATGGAAGTAGAACATAAACGTTATTGGCAGTAACAATCAATATCGAGATATGAGGGGGTGTAATCTAAAGTGCACCAATTCGGCCTGACCTATACGTGAGTGCCAATACACGTAATTCCTTCCGGTCGATAAATTCCCGCACTTCGACCCGCTGAACTCGCGCACGGTGCTCCTGAATTTTATCATCTCCATTCTGTAGTCGACCTCGAGAGGAATGGTGTTTCCTTTTCCCTCTGGTTTTCTTCCTCGGTTCAACTGTTATAATACTAGTTTCACGTTTGCAGTGCACACAGTATCAAATCATTGAAATTTAACGTGGTTAATTTTTGCAATGTTTTCGTTAGACCAAACCAGATCGTATTGGTGAACCAATTCGATCGATGATGCGGTATTGTGAACGATTTGTGACCGCAACCGTTAGCGAATTATTCATTATCTTGGTTTTATGTCCGGTCCAATTTATTTCCGATGAGGATTGCAGGAAATTAATACTTCACCCAGAACGATGGCACTTTTAAGTAATTTATGACCACACACAGATGCGAGCCGCCCCCGTGTACTGGTTATTACAAAAAAAAAGGTTATCGCCGAACAAAGGCAACGACTACGTAGGGTTGCAATACAGAAAGGCCTTTGTATTGTCTCTGTACGTCGAACGCATTAATAATGCACGGCCCGGACCGCAAACGTGTACGGACCTGTGCCCGTGCCAAAACAAAATGCCGCATCGGAGATCTGCCCCCGCGTTCCGTATCTGGAACGACCGTATATTTTTCATAAACCGGAACAATGCCGGACTCGTAGCACGCATATAACGTTCGGTTAAATTTCATTAGATTCGATTATAAAAGATTTACGACCGAATATTTATGTCTACCGTTTGTACACGTTCTACGTATATCGTACATACACGTTCCATGTCTATATTTAATGGTGCGCCCTAGGAGTTATACAATCAATCCTTGTTCACCTACCTAAATATAAAAGAGATATTTTGATAGCAAAAGAAGAAAATACAATAAGGAACTATAAGCGATCATCCGAAAAAATCCTTGTGAACCATCATATTTTTAAAACAACATCCTGAGATCTTTTTAATAATTGTTTACTAAAAATTGAATGAAGGGGTTAACTCTTTACAAGTATCATAATTCTATTTATTTTTTCATATTCACGGCTTTAAAAATACTATGGAATAAAGAATAAAGTAAATCTTGGCTGAACGTGAGTGATTAACTCCCTAGCAAGAGCAATTACTTAGTCACGAAGACAAAGAATTTAAGTAAAAAATTAAAGCATTTAAGTCAAAAAATGACGGAAATTTTAGAAGCTGTTACTGAAGATACTTATGAACGTATCGATTTTGAAGGTAACAATGTGAATGTAAACGATTCAGATACAAAGCAATTGCAGTTAGCTGAATATGATCCTACCGATAAAAGTTATTCAGGTGAAAAATTGGAAGTAATTTCAATTGAATCTTCTGCAACTAATTATACAGCTAGACATGGCACAATTTGGATCAACCACGACAACCTCGCAGACTTCTGTCGCAAAATATTCTAAGATACTCTAACACTGGATCAACACATAGAACGAAAGATCTTAGTATTTAACATACGTTCTAAAAGTTGAAGTTCACAGAAATGTGTGATATAATAATTCGTGAAAGCAATAAAACTGTAATCCTCTGTTACGAAAGTGAACATGCAGAAAATCCAACAAAACTACTTCGTGTATGGAAAGCTATTACTACATCTGAATTTGATGCTTATCTGGGAATACTTTTTCCAGCTGAAAATAACTCGCATTCATTGTAGCGTGCTTCAAAGGGCCTTCAACATTTTTGGGCTATTAGTCGTTTTATCAGATTTGATAATAGACATCTTAAACACTTTCCTGAAGGCCAACTATATATCTGCAACTAACCTTACTGTTAATGAGCAACTGTATCCTGCTGGTACTTGAGTCTCTCAAATATACCTTAAAAACTGGTAAAGTATTAAGGTTTGGTAGGTATGTCAAACTACAACTTTTTGTCCTTTTTGTATATTGTATAAAATACTGATATGGCACCCTCCGAAGAAAGAGAAAGATATTAAAGTGGATGAAACATCGCATGTGATAACTTTTTTACAAGTTACAAGTTAGTTTCTAAGAAGTGCAGTTGAATCATCAATCTTCGGATTTAGTAACAACATAAGTATATGTTCATATGTTTCAAAAGATAATAAATCAGTTGTGCTTCTTTCTATTCCCGATTTTAACATTGAAACCGAACTTCCTAAAAGAAAGTCAAGAATGATATTGTCTTTACAACCCTTCCTTCATTCCCATCAAATGTCCGGCCCACGCCAGTCTTTCTTTATTCTTATGAATTTTGAGAGGTTGACATGTTTCAAAAACTGATATATCTCGTTAAACTGTTATACGGAACTGGACACAAGATTCTACGCAAAACTTCTCATTCAAAGATGTCAAATTTACCATCTAATCTCTTAGACAGGACATGTTTCACGACTATATGTCGCGATTGGTTTAATGATTGTTTTATATAGTTTCATCTTTGCTTGCCGGTACAAGTCTTGCGATCTGAATAGATGTGCTAGTTTGCTTGTGTTATTTTATGTTTATTTCTATATTTTCCAAATATAAAAGTTGTTCCGCTTTTCTAATGCTATCTTCAATCTCCAGGTTTATTGTTGTTTAGACTGTATGGCTTTCTTAATTTCTTCTAATGATGGTGTTTCTATTTGTATTCCTGTTTCCGGTGCGTATCCCAATAGATTGTTAAAGCATTGTTTCCATACATCTCTTACGTCTTGATATTTGGCACTCACTATTTGCTCCTCTGGCTTGTTGAACGTTAATACATTCTATGTTCCAAAAGCATGTTCGATGTTGCATAGCCTAGGCCTATTCCGGGGAATCCGGGCATCGTTACGAAGCAATCGTTTCGGTCTCGTAACTGGTATTATTTTTACGGTAGCAGGTAGTTGTGGACAAATACCTTGGTGTATATGTTACGGGCAACTTGAGAAGTCTGGTCACTATGCATAATGACCGGTCTGTATACATAACGCCTGTATCAAGTGGGCAATGTAAGTAAAACTACATGATATTTTTCCCGGTCAGTATGAATAATGTTTACTCTATCTTGGGTAAAATAATAAAACAGATGGACTGCAGTTTTTTTGTTTATTATATCAAATTAAACTTACATAATTCTTATTGAAAGGTAAAAAAAAACAATTCAGCATAGTAGTTCAAAATATTACTTATGAACAACAGTTTAAAAATTAGTTAGTAATCTGACTGAAATATTTGAAATATTAGAATTGCGCAAGGATCTTATTAAGATTAGAATTATTTATTCTTCCAAGGCGAGCTTTTGTGACATTTTGAATTGCAAAGAATGTTTGATTTCTTGCATTTACAACGTTTTCAACTGCAGTCACCTGTACAATTACAGTGTTGGAATCCTTGTCCATCAAAATGAGAGTCTTTTCGAGCACCTTCCCGAAGAGTGATATCAACTTTTGGAACATCGTCAATAAATATGAACTTTTCTTTACATACAGTAAATTCATTTCTGGAGTACAGTTGGTTTAAAATACCATATTTCGTTCCTAGTTTGTAAAGGTTTTCTTTTTCCACAGAAATAATGACAGCAATTATATTACGACTATCCGTCTTGGCCCGATCTACATCTAGTACCCTTATTCGAACGCTTTTGCCTATTTCTGCAACAAGAAATTTTGCATTTGAATGCATCAACATTTTTTCTGCTTGCTTTTCAAATGATACTTTAGCTGCGTCACGAGCCTCTCGAATTTTCAGTAAACATACAGCCTTTTCATTATCAGTATTTTCCTCTTCATTGATCATATCGGCAGAAACAGGCTGTTGATCGTCTGGTCGAGGGGTTTCATTTATTGTGTCCACAGTATGTTGTTGATTTTCTGGTTGAGGTTCGTCATTTAATGTACCGGCAGAAGGTTGTTCCGGTTCAGGATCAGGACCAGGATCATTATTATTATTATTATTATCATCCGCTCTGTCCAAAATTATATTTTGACCTTCACCGGAATCACG